CCTGGGACCCTGGCCCAGGCCGAGTCTGCCGGTGTGGGCCGGGTGGGTCGGCTTCCGCTGTGCCCGGCCTCCCCGGACGCTGTGCAGAGCAGTAAAGGTAGCAGGCAGGCGGCAGAATTCCTTGCGCAGTTCAGGACGAGGTGCGACAGAAGTGTCTGTTTCCAGGGCGCCTGAGGAGGTGTCCGGGCCTTTGCACGTAGCCATGCGAGGCCCGGGCTGGTCTCTCGCAGTTACCGTGGTGGCTCACTATGGCCTTGGCGACGGTCAGGACCTGTGTTGCCTGTTAGGTTCTTATCCTCCTGTCACTTTGTTTCAGGCTCCTTCCAATTTCTGTCTGGTAAAGAGTCCTTACTGTTGATCCATCTAAAGTTGACCTAAATATCTTTGGTCTCTTCACTGTTTCTTGTGTCCTAAGCCGTTAGGGCCATTTGAAATCGGCTTGCTCATTTATTTGATTGGTTACATAGTATCTATTTCCAATACTTGTTGCTGCCTCTGCGAAGACCTAGAACAGCCTAGCTCGAGGAGGTCGATTGCCCTCAGTCATGAGTAGGTAACCCCTTCAAGGGCTCCCACCACATGTAAATAAACCCCACCCACAGCCTCCCAACATGGCCCATAGGCTCTACCACTTGATCTGCTTTCTGTTTTTCCTCGTACTGGGGACCGAACCCAGGGACGCTGTACCACTTTCATACATCTCCTGCCTTAGCATAGCATGTTGCTAAGTTACATAAGCTGGTTTTAAACATTAAATCTTCCTGCCTCAACCTCCTGAGTAGCTGAGATTGCTGCCATGTGAAACCGTGCCCAGCCAGTTCTTTTTGAATTGTTCTTTTAGCCTCCTCTGCTTCCTCTTCCTTTGCACCCTGGCCCACTGTGTCAGACAAACAGTTTTGAACTTGCCAACCTCTCATCGTGCAGTCTTTGTCCTTGTACTTCTTTTGTCTTGGGACATTGTCCTTGATCTCCTGTCCTACACATACTTTGTGTGCATCAGGCCTAGCTAGTTCTAGCTGTGAAGCATTACCCACCCTCCCGCAACTTTATGATATCTTTTACCAGATGTGTAAATCCTGCATGTGTTTTGTTTTGTTTGTGGTGCTGGGGATTGAACCCATAACTCTATCACTAATCTACATCCTTAGCCTTTTCTGAATTTTGAGACAAGTTCTGCTGTGCCTGAGTTTGTGCCTGCCTTAGCCTCCAAAAGTGCTTCTGACTAAATACGGTGGTACCTTGGATCACACACTTAGATCTTTCCACAATTCTGGAATGAATTCTGTGACCAGAATTGTGGAAAGAATTAAGTTCATGAGTGGAGGCACCACTGTATGAGACTGTGGTTGACTTCGAAAGCTGACCCTGACATGGGATGATGATGGCATTCGCTTGTGGGATTTCTAGAAAACTGATGAAAGTTGCAGAACACATGACACACTTAATTACATGTTGTAGGTTCTCAACTCATTGCCTTGGGAATGTTTTTAGTTCTCAAACTACATGGTAATGTAGGAAAGATTATGATATTTATTTGAAAATTGAGATTTAGATAATCTGACATCTTCACGCTCGAGCAGCTGGCAAATGTGAGCTGTAAGAGGACTGGTTTCTGTCCTCAGTGGTGGGGCCCCTTATTTGCATTACCACGGAATGCATAGCCTTCAGCTTGGGGCTGATACACCATGAACACAGAAGTTCAGCTGCTGCTGCTATCATGGTCAGAATTAGCAAAGTTGTTTTCCTCTATTTCTCCCTATCTCAGAGCACTTAAGCTGTGCGTGCCACAGTCCTCACTGATTGCCGTTGTGTATGTTCTCTTTAGTGGCTTTCCCATGGGAAGCTTTTTGCGTGCCCACAATTGCCTTATGTCTAAAGGCCACATCTGCCTCCCCACTGAACCCAACACAGAACTCGACCCTCAGGAGCCCTTGGTGAGTCAGGCCTCTGGACCTTTACCGGAGACTGAATGACAGGCCCTGATCCTATCCAGACACACAAGGTCCATGGCAGTGCTTCTCTTTGACTTTCCAGGTCATGGTGACCTTCAGTGACGTGGCTGTCACCTTCACCCAGGAGGAGTGGAGACAGCTGGACTTGGCCCAGAGGACTCTGTACCAGGAGGTGATGCTGGAGACCTGTGCGATTCTGGCCTCATTAGGTAATAACTCACCTCTCACCCCTGGAGACTCCACCTCCTCGAGTCATGGCTGGGCAAGAAGGTCACAAGAGTTCCCTTGCTTCCTCCCTCAGCTCCTGCGGCTTTCTGGTCCCACCTGCTGCTGCCTGGTCTCCCTGTGTCTGAATCAGATAAATGAAGTTTAAACACAGACACTGCTCTCCCGCCCAGGAGTCAGCTGTCCTCACTGCCTGCTCAGGGCTGTGGGTGATGAGTTGTTTTAAGAGAGGGTGTAAGTCAGGCCCTTGGGACACACTGGGTATCACTGCACATATCTTCCTAGCAATACCATCTTGGTGCAAAGGCCATGGACACTTTTGTCATCATTGCTGTTTCCTGAGGCTGGACCTTAGCCTCTGCCAGTTGAGGTTAATGTCCTCAAAACAGCATGTGTGGATGTGTGGAGATGGCTGATCCTTCTGCCTTTGTGTCCAGCCTACTGCTTATTGTCATGAAAACATCTCAGATTGGTGCTGAGGCCTCTCTCATCCACCCAGCTGTGCTTAATTTCTCCTCTTGATACAGGAGACAGCTTCCGGCTCTCAGCCATAAGCAGAGTACCCATATTCACTGGGACTGAATGACATTTTTATTTCATTGTTGTGTTCTGTTGTTGACTTTTCATTTACCACAGTGAAACAGAGTTCTCTTTTAGAATAAAATATTTCAGAAAAGTGAGTCATGTTAAAGAGAAGCCGTTAGAAACATTGGCATGCTGCATGCTACACATATCCATCATTCTGAGTTCAGATGAGAAGATGTCAATCCATAGATGACAATTCAGGTGAGTTTCAGAATTTAAAGAGTAAATAACCAGGGGGCCATAACCCATCATGGGTGCTCCAGGGAAGGCATGTCAGGAAGTGACAGTGAGGCTGATATGTGAAAGCTGAGTAGGACGTGGCCAAGTGGGAGGAAGTGGAGAAGTGTGCCATGTGGGGCAAGCCCTGATGTAACAGGGAATCAGGTACTGGTGGACTTGAAGGACCAACAGCTTGACTTTTTCCAAATCCCAAAACCCAGAGCCAGGCATGTAGCTCCCTTTGGAGAGCATTGCTGAGACATGTCAGTGGGTTGTAAATGAGAGCCTGACAGTTATTTCTATAAGTCCTATGTCTCCAGACAGGGATCTCCGGTTTTTAACTTATGGAGATCAAATTTGGAAGGACATTTGCTTCTCCTAAGGAGATAGCTCAGCGTGTGGCGGGCTCAGGCTTCCTGTATACAGCAGGTGTCATCAAGGACATTGAGCTTCCTGTTCCTCTCTTGGCAGAATCACCACTGTTGTCTGCAGGTATGGAGGATGTTGCAGCAGTGAGTAGACAGCAGGCCCCTGGGTCCACCCCTCTCTTCCCACATTGCAATAAAGGTTCCTCTTTACCATGAAAGTACATTTGAGATCACCTGCCTGTCTCATACTACTGATGACCAAGGATGCCACCAGTTTATTTCAAGCAGAGAGTTTTCAACCATCTCTGAGTGCCAGAATTTTTCAAAAGTGTTGATGCCCAAACCTCATCTCATGAAAGTTTGTTAAATTGCTTAGAGTTTGGAATGCAGCTTTTTCAGGAGACAGAAGCACAGGTGTTTGAGAATCAGTGACTTTGATGAATTGAAAGACAACGTCTGGATGGAGTCCTCACCCTTGCTGTGTCCCCTGGTTGTTTGTGAAAGTGTGTGCAGGTGAATGGTGTTGGCTTTCAGAGGTGGAGGTCGAGGTCGTGGGGTTAGGTGGACAGCGCTGCCCTCTTCAGCAGGTACAGTCATGTCAAGCTAGGATGTCAGCATTTGTATTTTGGAGGGACACAGTCCAGTCATAGCAGTGCCCTTGGGTTTCAGGTGTCAGGGGAGTGTTCTGCTTACTCATGGTCTTGCTCCTCTCATGATGTCCCAGACAAAGTGCAGACTTCATTTTTCTCATCCAGTTACCCCTATCCTGCTTTCTTTGCTATCAACAGGGCACCAGGTTCCTAAACCAGAGTTGATCTACCTGCTGGAACATGGGCAGGAGCTGTGGACAGCGAAGAAAGTCCTCTTGCCTAGCACCTGTGCAGGTAGGCAGCCATAACCTTGTCAGGTGCGGTCATGACATCTTTAGCCTGACAGGATCATAGTCCTCGGACCTCTGTGTGGGACTTATTTTCATGACCTCATTGGTTCTGGCTGTTTCTGACCTACTTCAAGGTCCAGTGTGCTTCAGTAGGTGAGCTCTGAACCACACAGTTACTCTGAGATCCAGGTGCCTTCACCTGTGATCAGGCAGCTTTTGATGGCTCTGGACATGATCCAGTGGCCGAAGGCAGCTGATAGAGGAGTAGGGCCCACACATATGTCCCTTGTGTGTATTCTGGACAAGAAATAGGCTTTGGCCAAACCTTTGTCCTTATGACTGAGAAATGTAGTTTAGCTCTCTGGCCAAGGAGAACAATAAAAAGCTTGGTTTCCATCACTCGGGCTGTAAATCAAACATATTAAATACACCAGGAGAGTTTTTCTGTTTGTAGAAATCCCGTGCTAAATTCTCTGTAACATAAGCAATCTGTTCTCATTCATTTCTTTGCCTCCCAAGTAAGTCTGTACATTTTTACTTTGGTATTGGGTCACACTTTATATAGTCAAAAATCCTTCAGTACTTCTTCTATTCAGCTGTGTTGCTGATCAGTAGATGTTTTCTTTGGTTTTATGGCAAGAGTTCAATCCTGATTATTCATGATTTTAGCGGGATATATGATTTCCAATACATTTGTGTATTCTTTTCATCGTCATGTTTTCATCAGCAGGGTTCATCTTGTATTCTGTAGTGTTGTGTTCAAGGATCAGAACGAATTCACTGTTCTCCTGTTGCTGGACATTTTTATTATTTATTTTGTGTGGATATTAAGAGGAATTGTGCTGTCAAGTTATTTTCATCATATTCACTGGCTAAAACACTCCTTTCTTTTGTGTGTTAGTGTATACCCAGGAGAGGAAAGCATCACTCGTGGAATGGCTTGGTCTGTGCTCAGCTTTAAGTCAAGCTGCCGCATACTTGTCCAGGGTGGTGGTCCCATTTCCTGTTCTTATTAGGCAGCTGTATGAGTACTCTTGTACTGGCTCCTCCTAAAAATGGAGAACGTCCTTGTTACTCTTTCAGGCACAGTAGTTGGAGTCTTCAGACCATAAATGTGAAATTGCCCAGTGCACCAGTGAGGATGAGCACGAGTGGGCTCAAGCAAGCGTGGATGTCACACCAGGAGCTTCATAGCCACTGCTTCATGTAGCTCTCAGTACAGGCTGAGAAACTGAGCACCCACAGCTCTTAGATGAGGATATTGGACTTCATGGAGAAAGGCGTCCATCCAGTAGCAGCCAGCTTGGCAGAGGCAGGTCTTGAATCCTGTCTTCCTGTTCCTCTAGTGCCTTGACCTCGCTCTACCCACCTTGCTGCTGTTGTTGCCTCAGGATGCGGCAGCAGTGATACTGGGCTTCATCTTTTGTGCCATTCCTTCATTCTTCATTCTCTTCTACCAACTCCTTCAGTATTTGCTTTCCCAGGCACCTGTGCCCTTTGCTTCTAAGTCTCAGCTCTCTGAGGGTAAATCTCCCCATGTTTACTCCCTCACTTCAACACAGTGCCTGTGTCTCCATCTGGCAAACACTCTGCTTTCTCAGTTGTGTCCCAGTTCCGTCTCTTAGAACACCCCTCTGGGAAGCCTTCCATGATTGATCTATTCTCTTTGCCTCAGTCTCTGCTTCTCTTTTCCTAATCTTACTCTGTGCCACTTTCCTATACTTCCGTGACACCGATAGACATCAGTTCTTAGGCCAAATCCTCTCTGTACAATGTCATCAAAATTCTATCCTTCTTTCTTGTCTGTGGACTGCAAAGATGCAATCTCCACTGCTGATTCTCTGTTCCCTTCTCTAGCATGGCTTCTTGATTTTCCTTTACTGGTCTCATGACTGCACGGACCCATGGAGGATAATTGGAACCTAGGTTACAGAGATGTGAAGACACAGGAAGTACAGTATCAGAGGTTCTGTTCCCATCTTCATTTCCCACTGAAATGTTTGTGTTAGTATTTTGGCATTGCGTCACCAACGGTTTCCTCTTTGTGTATTGGATTCCTTTTCAGGTGACAGAGCACAACTTCAGACCAGAATGCCAACCACCTGTCTCCCAATCAAATCTGAGGGAACCTTGCTCCAGGGAAGGCTGACTCAGGAAGGGCTTTTGGAAAGGCAGAAAGGCTTTCCTAAGGAGACCTGTCCTGGGAACACGTGTCCTGAAGATGGTGGTTTGTACCCCAGGGTGTTACAGGAGCAAGCCCCTCCGGATGTTCTCTGTGTGTGTCCAGATGACTCTCAGCAACCTGGGAAAGACACCTCAGTACTTGCAGGGACGAACCCATACAGATGCAAGCAGTGTGGGAAAGGTTTTAGCAGGAAGTGGTATCTTGTTCGACATCAGTGGGTTCACACAGGTCTGAAGCCCTATGAATGTAGTGCATGTGGGAAAGCCTTTAGTCAGAACTCAACCCTTATTCGTCACTATTTCATTCACACTGGGGAGAAGCCATACACATGTGTTGAGTGTGGGAAGGCCTTCAAACGCAGGGCATATCTAACACAGCACCATCCCGTTCACACTGGAGAGAAGCCTTATGAGTGTGTGCAGTGTGGGAAGGCCTTCACCCACCGCTCTACATTTATTCGCCACAGTAGGACACACACTGGAGAAAAACCCTTTGAGTGCAAAGAATGTGAGAAAGCCTTCACCAATAAAGCACACCTGATTCAACACTATCTTGTCCACACTGGCGAGAAGCCCTATGAGTGCATGGACTGTGGGAAAGCCTTCCGATGCAGCGCAGAGCTGGTGCAGCACCAGCGGGTCCACACTGGGGAGAAGCCCTATGAGTGTGCCCAGTGTGGGAAGGCCTTCCACCGAAGCATGTACCTCGTCCAGCACTTGGTCATCCACACTGGGGAGATGCCCTACAAGTGCATCGAGTGTGGCAAGGCCTTCAAACGCCGGTCACACCTCCTGCAGCACCAGCGGGTCCACTCCTGAGGGAAACCTGGCCAGTGCAGCGAGGGAGGGACATTTGTCACACGCTGCTCATCTTTGACGTTGCTAGTAGGGCTGACGTGGAAGGAAAACCCTTGGAGTATAAGGATGGTGGGAAGCATCACTACTGTTTCCATATTCTTTGGTCACTTCCACTAAACTTAGGAGCAGTGACATTGGAGAGGAGCCCTATGAATGTTGTGAATGTAAGGAAACTGTCTCTGCTCAGTCTTAGGCATCATGGAAGGATTCAGATCAGAAATGAGGGGCTTTGTGCCGAGGCATCAACCTCAGGGAACTCAGGCTGAGGAAGACACTGAACCATCTGCTTAGGATCCTCCACCAGAAGGAGGACCTTCCTTCCATCCTAGTGTAGAATTTCTGCACGATCGTTGCTAGGAGAAACCTTTATGACAGTGCATCTCTCACTTGTCCCGGAAAGCCTTGTGTGGAGTCGGCTCCCTGTGAGATTTGGCTTGTGGAGTCGGAGGCCTTAGTTTACCATCCTCCATGGTTAACGTGAAAAGCTGTCTCAGCATCATTCATAAGAAGAGGGAACAAAGCGTGGGAGGAAAATGTATTCTGTTACACCCCCTGGAGTCTTCATTGCCAAGCCTTTCACAGTTTTCATCAGTTTTACTTTGGTAGGGATGTCTGAGACGTGAAGAGGGCTCAGCTCTTAGTTTTTATATATGACCCACAGTCCTGTGTCAGGAGAGGCATGTGGCAGCCCATTGTTGATCGAGACATCTTCACACCTGAGAAGGCAGTACTTCTGAGAGATGAAGGGTTGAGTGATGAGTGTTTAAACTTTGGAGAAATCTGGGTGCCACTTTAGAATGTGCACCACTGTGCAAGGGTTTGCTTTGGAAGACCAGATGGGAAGATTGAGGCCTAATTGGCCTCCTTGGTTACCACTGAGAAGAAAGTGGGTGTGCGTGCATGCTAACATGCGAGGAAGAGTAACACCTGAGGTTAAGTTTTTTTACCTGGAGAAGACTCATAAAGGGTGGGAGACAAGTGAATCCTGTGGGACTCTAATTGCTTGTGTCTGTGTCTGAATGAATAAAGCCAAGGTGTGCCAGGCATTGGAGCTCTATTTTGAAGGGAGACACGAGTGTCCTGGCCCCCCAGATTTTAACCTGTTTTTGTGTCTTTATATTTCATTCTCTTCACCCCTTGGTCAGGTCAGGCTGGTTCCTAGTTTTTATTTTTTTAATAAACCCACTTACAGTTTTATCTAGCACTTGGTTTTCAGCCTGCCCTGTCTGTCCCAGGGTCTTTCACCCCAGATCACAGTGGTCATAGCTACTGCAAATCCCTGTCACTATCTCATTGCTCCCTCAACACCTGGTTCTGTGTCTCCATCGAGGGCCTTGTCCTTGTCCCTCTGTCTTTAAGGCTCCTGGTCCTAGCTGTCACTGTCTTCTGAGTGATCCTCTGGTTTGCACTTTGCTTACTGTCCTGCTCTGAGGATAATATCTCTCGAAAATATCTTGCTTGCTGGGCTCCATTCCATTAGAGGAGAGTTAGGACAAGTGGGCACTGGGCGGTTGTTGAGGACCAACCATGATATGTATGGATTGGTGGGGGCCAAACTATAGGCCCCAGTCATGAGACAGAGGTTGACTTTGTTCAGGCCTAGAGGAACATAATCTGTAATCCCTTAACTCCTGAGATCCTGAGGCAAGATAACCTGCTGAGCAAGTTTCTTGGTGCTGAGCAGCACCAAGAAAGCAAGTACCCACAAAAAGAAAGAAAGATTTTTAACTTGTTTCTTATGTGAAACCTGTTACTCATTCTACTACCTTGTGCTTACTGCGGTTGCTGTTTTAGGAAGAGTACATAACCCCAGCCCTGCGCTTCTCACTGGCTAATAAAAGTGCTTTTGCTGTTTTCCCAGTCTAGGGCACTGATGTTCTGGTCCCCTGTACCTGAAAAATTGTCTTTTTCTTTACCCCTTACTGTACCCACCTGAGCAGGCAACTGCGGTCTGATTGGCCCTTGGTAAGTGGTGGCTGCCAGATTGGGCACCAGCTGAAACCTAGAAGCTCCTGCTCTGTTTAGAAATATGAACTTTTTCTGAGTTTTTATGTTCACAGGAACTGAGCCGAATGTGGCACTGAGATTGAGAAGCAGACCTTTTACTCAAAACAACTCAGTTACTGAATTGTATCTTGTGGGCTTCTTGAAGTTGTCTTTCTGTGGATGAGATTTTGTTCACTCACCATGTCTGCGTACATCTGGGCCTTGGTGATCCTCTTTCAAGAGTCTCATGAATGCTACTACTTCTATCCTACCATCAAGATTTTAGAAAACACCAAAGAATCTGTTACAGTAAACCAAGGCAAGGCAGACCACTGGAGCAGGCAAAAAATGAAGCAACAAGTGAGGATTTATTTTCAACCTGGGTGTAGGCTAGTCAAGAGTGACCAGACTGTTAACCCGGGGGGCTGTGGGCAAACTTTATAGGAGAATTTGGGGAGGGGAGGGTGGTGCCAGGAGGGGAGGCAATTTTTTTGTCTTGGAGTGGAGGAAGTCTGGTGGTCTCCAGGTGTTGCTGTGTGAGGCCTGATGTTTATCTCAAACCCGGACCTTGGCTTCCTGTTATGCTTTGCATTTTATAGGATGTGTAACAGCATTGCCTGGGAAGTTTTTCTTTTCTGCCTGGGCATAATCACTTGTGAGCTACCAACAGACTTTTGACCTCCAAATATGTCTTCACTGTAGCTCACACGTGTCCTGCTGTCCTGATACAGGTAGGAAAGAGTAGCAGCATGTGCCGTGGTTCCCCAAGAAATAACCTCCCACGTATTGGTGTCCAAACTTGGCGAGCATAAATGTGCTGGGATTCCTGATCCTTCCCTTGATGCACAATCCACTCATTGCAGCTGTCACTATTATTATTTCCACTCCAAACTCCAAAGGAGGAGTTGAAATAATGAGGAAAACATTTGTGAAATGTGGATGTACTGAAAGTTGATAGGGAAGATTACATTATTATTAGTGTTAAAGGAGCAGCTCAGGGAAAACCTATCTGTAGTGTTGGTTAAATCTCATTCTCAGTGAAATAACAGCATGAAGCTGGGCATGTAGCTGTGGTAGAACTTGGCAACCATCAAATTTTTGTTTCTGAAGTGTGGTTCCATTTCCTTCTAAAAAGAGTACCTACTTCTCTGTAAGTCAGGCAAGGGGCTATTAGAAAGACTTCCAGAGTGGAAAGAATGAAAAAGGAAGGGGAAATCTGTTATGGTTCCCAAATCTAACTTGTTTAATGAACAACTAGTAGGTTTTTGGCATTGTTATCAGTGCCCGGGAGATGTTGGGAAATGGTCATGCCTGCCCTCATGGAGCTCATGGTCTACTTGAGGAGAATGGAGAACAGAGAAGCGCTAAGTTACATAAAATTTTATAATACGGCAGGCGCCGTGGAAAGAAGAGAAGGAGATGCGTGTGCTGAGAGGATGGGGAGACGGGGAGACTATCCATAGCAGGCTTCCTAACGAAGGGGCAGTCAAGCCAGCACAAGGACGTGAGACCCTGAGCCATGTGGGTATTTCTGAGGATAATTTTCGGGTGCAAGACATGCCTGTTACGGCATTCAAAGGGCAGAGCTGTCCTGCCCTATAAGGCAGGGAGCCCGAAAAGAACTGGGAGAGGAGGGTAGATGCAAAATGCAGGCTCTGAGAGCTGTGGAAAAGCCAGACCACACAAGACAGGGCAGGCACTGGAAATATTTTCCATTTTATACCAAGTGCGTGCTGCTGTAGTTATTAGACCATTGGCGACACAGGGCTAAGGACACCATTGGTGAACCACATTGTCCCCATGTAGAAAATGGACTGTGGAGAGTTAATGGAAGAAGACACTTTCTTGAAGATAGCACAGAAACTCCTCTGGGTGGAAGAGTGGTTTTGACTAGATGTTGACTGTGGAGGTGATGGTTCTGCTCTGTGATAGTTTGATTGTTTTGTTTTTTTGTTTTCTGGTACCGGGGATCGAACTCTGGTCCTTACCCTTGCAAAGCAGGCAGCAGAACCGCTGAGTTAAATCCCTGGCCCTGCTCTGTGATAGTTTGAAAGAAGAGCCAAACACATTTCACAGTGGGCTGGATAGGGAAGGGGGGATGGTACTGAATAGGATGACACTCCCACACGTGCCCTTGAAACACAGACATTGAAGAGCTAGTGAACTGATGGGGAAACAATTATAGGTCCTCTTAATGTGGTCACAGGAAGAGGAAAATGAGTCTGGTTGATCTTTTTGGTCAGTGCACTCTCTGTCCCTTGGGTTTATACAGAAAATGTGCTGGACTGGATTCAGCAGCCCCTCACTTCTCCGTGCTTCTCAGGCCTGGAAGGACCACAAAACAGTAATTTCCAAAAAGCTACAGGGTGTGTGTGTGCTTCTTTAGGACTCATGGTATGCGTTGTGCTCAGAGGGTACCTTTGCCCCAGCAGCTCCTGGAAGACCCATCTTGGCCTGCTCCTGTCAATCACTTCTGGGGGCCAATATGCCAGAGTCTCACACATGACTTAAAAAAACAAACAGCACAGTTGCCTTAAAAAGAACCACATCCTGAGTAGCTTACAGAAATTTATTTTCTCACAGTTCAGAAGCCTGGGGGTTCAGAGCAGATGTGAGTGGAGCTGCTTCTCGGGGGACCTCTCTTTGATTTGTGGATCGTGTGTTCTCCCTGTGCCTTCACGTGTCATCTCTGTGCTTCTGTGTCTAATCTTTTCATGAGGATGCCAGATAGATTGGCTTAGGCCCACTCATTTGAACTCATTTTACTTTACTTCTTTAACGGGTCTGTCTCCACATAGAGCCTTTTCTTGAGATACTGGGGGTTAACATATTGCTTTCATATGAGTTTTGAGAGGGCAAAACTGATCCACCAAGAATACTACTGAATAGAGTCCAAGAGTATGAGAAATCTTCCCTTCCCAACTTCCAATGAACTGGGAGATCTTTGGTAGCCCTGGGAAGTCAACCCCAGACAGCTTCAGTGACATGGACTAAAGTAAAGCTTGAGAGCAGAACTTACCAATACCTTTGAAGTACCAGAGAAGATAAGTATAGTAGTACTTCAGTTCAGAAACCCTTCTGTTTGCAAACAGCTTGGTTCACAGACAAAAGCATTTGGCCGAATTTTGCTTCTGTTCTTTGCATTGGGTGACAAATACAATAATGGCCTTCTCACCAAAGAAACAAATGCAGCTGTCTTCCCCAAAATCATAAAAGAAATTCAGCTTGTAAACCAAGGTACTACTGTATTTTAAACCAGAAGTTTAATGTTTGAAATTAATCATGAAATTATTTGATATTTAAAATACCTGACCAAGTATATTCATTTCACTCAAATGAAGATCATGGAAAAAAGCTTGAAGCAAACTCGAAGTGTGTCAGGAGGACAGTGAGTAGACATGCCGTGTGGCTCCCTGTGTGGTGAGTCCTGGCAGTGGGGTTGTGTGGAAGTGGTTCTGTGTGGACTTACGTGAGGACGTGCAGACAGGTTTATATTTTAAAAAGAAAGAACAAACCATATGGATGCACACTAAATGCGTGTGTTCACAGGAGAATACCTAAACACGGATATCTTGGAGCACAAAGCAGACTAGTGGTTGTGAGGCGTTAGGTGGAACGGTGGAATGGGACACAAGTCTTCAGTGCCTGTGGGGTTTCTTTTCGAGGCGATGAAATGTTTCAGAAGTAGACCGAGACGGCTGGCCAGCGTTATGAATACACTAACTGCTATTGAGCTGTTCATTTTACAGATGTTAATTTTCCATTATGTAAATTTAAACTAATTTAATAAACATATTATTCAACTACAAGTGTAAGGAAATCAACCAGAGAGAAAAGATATGTGGAGCAAATAAAAGAGTTATCTAAGGAATATAAACCTTAGTATGCCAGGGGAATCAGGAGTTACCACACATGGAGCAAACATCTTCAGCCAGCCAGAACCAAGATCTTCATAAAATATTTCATGTGCCGCCGGATGTGGTGGCGCACACCTGTAATCCCAGCACTCAGGAGGCTGAGGCAGGAGGATTGCTGGGAGTTTGAGACCAGCCTGGGCTACATAGTTCCAGGTCAGTCTCAACTACATAGTGAGACCCTGTCTCAAAAAACAAATAAACAGAAAATTAGAGTGCCTAGGAATGTGCACACATGTGCACAGTGAGACGTGTTAGTATGAAATACTTGTGACTTTATAATATTTATCCTGAAGAAGAAGAGCTCAAGGACATAAGGTGCAGCAGAGCCAGGTCAGCTCCTTCCAGCACAAGGTCCAGGCTGACTGGACTCAGGGTGCACGTGAGCCCAGGGGTTGTGTGCTTGCAACAGGCCTGGGTCAGCAGGTCTCGATGCAGAGCTCGGGGCTGTGGCAGGTTGAGTGAACATCCTGAGATCGGGTCCTGGACTGTGCAAGGCACAGGGGAAACACGTCTGTTTGATGAGAATGTGGGGAAAAAATCTGATTTTTTTTCAGTAAATATTCTCCCTGCTCCCTGAATCCAGAGATACGTGGAGGGCATTATTATGTTCCGCGATTAGAGGCCCAGCTCCTCACCATGAATGATTTCCCATCAGCACCCTGGGGTGTGTGGATGGCGCCATGGAGTCTTCCATCACTGAGCAGCGGCACGTTCTCTAGTGGCGATTCCCCACCAGCACACACGGCCCTGGGCCTCCGTGCACCGCATCCGGATTCTCACCACACGTTGCCTTCATGTTTACTGGAAGCAGGTAAGGCCAGTGAGCTGAAGCAGAGGGGGGCCCTTCCTATGCTGAGAGCCCTGCACAGCATGAATGGATGTGCACAGCTTTCACCTGGTTCCAGCGCAGCAGAGCACAAAATGCATGGTTTATCCTGAGAACACAAAATAGATGAGACCAGTTCTGCGACGTTCATGCCATGGAGCATGGAGGAGCCATGAGAATGTGCTGTCCACTCCTGCCTCAGACACAGACAGGTCTAACCAACCAACATGAACGGAAGCGTCTAGTCACAGAAAAATGCATATGTACACAAAGTGTGCTTTCAAATGCCGAAATCCAAACTAGAAAACCATACTGTATATGTTTCACATTACATGTGTGGCAAAACTATGAAAATATCAAGGAAAAGGTTTTCAGCGTGAGGGAACATGCACTTCGAGTTGTAAGATTGAGGGAGAAAGGCAGAAGCTTTGAAACAACACATTTGCGTGTGGCGTTGAGTGGCAGTCACACTCCTGTGCTCGTTACTGGAAGCATGACATTCTGTACATACATGGGACTGAGACTGCAGAGTGCGATGGAGGCTGAGTGAGGAAAAACTGGTTCCTAGCAGTGGAAATCGTGCCATTTTTCATAGAAAGCATAAGGAAACACGTAGTAGCAAGTAGAGACAGTGCATCTTTGTTTTCAGAGTTTCATGTCCCTGCCACCCAGCTGTCTCTTGGATTACAGTTACCCTGAATGCACCAGGCTTCCACCACCACCAAGTGAGGCTCTGGGTCTGGGCAGAGATTTTGTGTCTTCCAAGAGCTGCCATGGTCTGTGACCAGCAGCCTCCGGTGCAGAACACAGTTTTGGATGCTCTTGCACAACTTGCCTTCCAGTCATGACAGGATGTGAGTTCAGATTTGCTGTAAAAGGGACAGGAGGTTCAGTGCAGAACAGGCTTAGGCATCACCTGATTCTCCAGGGAGAAAAATCCCTGGAGCTGAACCCAGAATTGAGTCTGGCAACCAAGGCAGTAAGAAATCATGTGGGCCACATGCACTAAGGTTACGGAGAATTTTGAGCAAAATTAATCTCAGGTCTGAAGCAAGGTGCTTATGGTCAGGATAAAATACCCGGTAAAACGTCACAAAGACAGCAAGGACCAAAAGAGAAGAAATATTTCAAGTGCTAGTATGAGGAATAACACACCTTCATCGCTAGCAGGAATTCATTGAGCCTTCTGATGACTGCACAAACACGTTCAGAAGAGGATGCAGTGTTATGGGTGTTACAGACTCTGAGGTAGCTTTCAAAGCACTCAAAAGAAAATATTGCTGCAAACCAAATGACTGAGAGAGGTGGAATGCATTCTGGAAATCAGCATTGGCCTGAAGGAGCTTGGAAGCAAAATCTAGAGCAAGTTGTAAAACATCAATCACACTAATGTAATGTGAACATTTTTATATTTTACAAATATATTGTAGACAGTATTCACCTGACTATTAATTTCCATGCCAGTGAAAATGAATTCAGCACTGAAGAAATTCAGTTATCACGGACTAGACTGTGAAAATAAACTCCAGAAATGTTTACTCAGTAGGTGAAATTATTTTTTTAAAGACATACAAGGAAAAGTGACAAAGGTGGAATCAAACAAGTAAAAGGCTCATAAATTTGGTATAATAAACACATTTCAAGATGTAGAATGTATCTAGACATTGTGGTGATAATGAACTAAAAACATTTGGAGATTTCAGTGAGGTCAAAGAAAAATGTAAAAAAGTGGCCTCGATTTACTGCAAGGTAATAGTTAAATGTTTTTAAAATCAGATTTTCTCTTTTGAAATTTGTTGTTCAGGTGAAATATTTTAGAAAGATTTTTATAAACAATATAAATTATTTTCTGGGTATTAGAAATTGATACTACATTTTTTGAGGAAGTCTAAAACTAAATTATTAAATGGGAAATGTTGGAATTAAATATTTTTATTTAATTGTAAATAAGGATAACTGATCTTTTTCAATGTCTGTGTCCTGGCCTGTCCTCAGTGCTGACTAGAACCAGACATAACTTTCCTTTTTCGAGTTTTGTAGTTTTGCTCTCTACATTGCCATGTACTCTGGTCACACCAGGGATTTCTCCCTCCCTTGAGGTTTCATGTATCATCCTTAACACAGGACTTCACATCTGTCAGAAAGAACTTGATCCAATTATGCTTAAGCATATGTATTTGTAAAACATCACTTCCATGTAATCTCATGAGGCCCAAAGTGATGGGTCTGCACTAATGGGCCAAAGTTAGACATTTCTCATATATTATTTCAGATTTTTCCATGGAAATCAATGCAAGTAGACCAAGTGTTTGTTCATAGCATTCATAGTGAGGTATGCAGGATTCATTTTATCTCTATTAGAAGATCCGTGTGCACAAGTTCATTACTGGTCATTGTCATGACAGCAGAAATTCCTATGGTATATTAGATAATTTAATTTTCACAAATGTTAAAGTAACTCCATGCAAAGAGGAGAATAACTTCACAACGTCAGCTGCTTATGAAGAACAGTTTGTGTCTCCCAGCAGACCATGAAGAAATGACAGATCCTGGAGTCCCTGAAGATGAGCACAAAGGGGCTGAATGCTGGGAAACACGAGGCCGCCAGCACAGAGCTGTTCACTATCCACTGGCCACGATTTGAGACTAGAGTTGCCCAGATGGTCAGAATAATATAGACTGAATAAAAGGTCACAAAGGAGCTCACCAGGATCATGATGGTGCATGTGGCTCTGGCTACGTGGGATGACTCTGGGGTGAGGCTGTGGCCATGAATGTGCTGGACCTGTTGCCTGTGTCTGTGCAGGACCAGGACCATGGAGCCACTGGCCCAGATAATGAAGGCCACACTGAGAATGTCAAGGGAAAAATATAAGAGTGTGTATAGTAAGGCATGCCTCTCTGGCATTGTCCAGGAACAGGGTCCACAAGTGGTTCTCACAGTAATGTTTTTGCAATTCAGTGGACCATTCACTATTACTATCATACACGAATTTATTGAGAGATTTGGAATCCAGCACAGGAAGCAGCAGAAGCCAATGAATGTTAGGGACCGAATCTTGAGCTCCATCCATCTACAAATACTGGGGTTGAGCTTAATTGCCTGGAAGCCATTAAGAAGGCAGACAGTGCTGAAAGAAAGCCCTGTGCCCACTCTGTGAAGATAGAATACAAGTTTGCATCCAACATCGCCCAGGAAATGTTTCCATCGAAATGCCACTGTTGTTTGCGATATCCCTTTGGAGACTAGGACTAGGGAGTTGGCTAAAACCAGTTGGTTGAGAATTAGGTCTGTGAGTCTCAAGTTGTATCCAGTGAGCAGACAGAAGGTGTAAAAGCAAAAGAGGAAACAATTTCCAAAGATCCCAATTGCAGTCTGAGCAAGGAAGATAGTTCCCAAATCCAAATTTCCTGCAGCCATTGTATCAAAGTCGAGGCGGTGCCGACATGGTCTGATTTTAGAGGAGCCAGTAGAAGAGGAAGAGCAATGACTGCTTTAACACCAAGGTGGACGCCATAGTCTGTGTGTGTCCTGCCTCATATTTTCTCACTTTAATTGGACATGCAGGCTTTATGCTTATTTGCACCAAGACAGTCACTGAAGAATTGCACTAGAAACAGCTCATTGTCCCCTCCAATTTCTTGGTTAGTGAGTCAGAGCACAAGCAGACTGCAAATCTCTGCAGCAAGACCCGAATGAAGATCTCTGTGTACTGACACAGTCAGTGTGGTTTCATTCTTTCTCCAAACAAGATTGAGAAAATAGAACTCACAGCACAATTTAAAATGGAGAAATTTTCACTCAGCTGGAATCTGCAATCCAGCAATATAAAATCCATATAGCCTAGAAGTTGAACATCTGCAAGCCACAGCAGTTCATCTTATGGTGTGGACTGAATCCACCCAGTTTTGATATTACAAACTTTGATGTGAACTTAGGCAATCTTCTCCCACTCCTTTCCTTTAACACACAAACTAGAGTCCATGCAACATCCACTTCAGAAAGCAGTTTTCAGACTTTGTAAGCGCCATATTTGTCATCATTTATAGATTTTTCACACTCCTATCCTGTGTAAATCTGTGCTGTCATCTTGATACTCTCGGCTCTACTGTTTAGAAGTTTCATTGATGACATTGTTCGGGTCTCGGTGAGTTCTGGGATTCCTGTGTGGAGTGTGTGCACTGCTCTGTATTTCATAGGAATGTGTACACTGCATGCCACCGGAAGTGAGTTGTGAAATTTCCTCCAACATATATTCCTAAGAAAAGGATGGTGCTTTGTACACAGTATGTGCCCTATCTGTAGTTGTGCAAAATAAGATACATTTTAGGACTTAAATTTGATAGGTTGGAAAGACAGGAATGAAAACTTATACTAAAAAGTTACAGTTTTGAGTTGATACAAATCTAAGAAGTTTTGAAAATATTTAATGTTGAATCAATATAAAATTTTTAATTCAATAAACAGATGAAATGAGTAAAAAAATCTACTTGAAGTGTGTGTCAATCTGATGGTCTCTCCAGAATGACGAAGGTGAGAATGAGAACAAAAACAACTACAAAAAGTCTTTATGTGGCTTCAAAACTCACAGAAAACAGACACACACCTCTAACTGTAAGTAAAAGTAATGATATCTGAATCACAGTAGATCGTGTCATTGTCACTATTCTTTTTAAATTTTTTGTTTGAGTTTTTATGAGGCACCTGGAGTAGAGCCCAGAGCCCCACACGCGCTGGAGAAGCACTCTCCCCCGAGCTAACCCTTTATTTTGATATTGAAGCATAGATTTGCAAAATGGTAAAAGTGGAGTAAATTGAATAAAATAAACATGGAACCTCTCTCTATTACTTCATACAACAGCAGGTGAATCATCAGTTGGTTCTAAAAATTTCAAGTAAAAAAATCCAAGGGCTGTCGATGTAGCTTAGTAGTGGAGAACTTGCCTAGCATGTGTGAGATTCTAGGTGAAATCCCAGCACTACAACCCCGAAGCCCAAATCCGAATAATACTGGGGATGCAGGGCCTTTATGGAATATGTGTGGGAGCAGGCTTTCAATACTTTAATAAAAAATAGCAAATAAAAAACCAACCTCCTCACTAAACCCATAAGGAGTATATAGAAGGCAGAAGGAGAAAATATGTAATAAACCATCTCAAAGCTACATTCCAAATAAAGTTTTGGTAAATATCTTGGTTAGATTCCTTGAGAAAATAACAAACTTCATACTTAAAATGTGGCAACATTGCATGAATATTAGTAATTCAAACAAAGAGATGTGAAATTTAAACTATTCAACATGAGAAGTGGAAATAATAACAGAAACAATATAAAATTCATAGGGATTTTCTACAGTGTAGATATGCTATTTAGTAATTACAGTCTAAATGGTAATATTTCTAACTTTTCTCAAGTAGTTAAAAAATCTCACAATTATGCAAATAGGTACAAACTAAAAGCAATGGAGATAATGTATTTTTAAAATTAAGTTTGTGAAATCTTCACTATATTTAATTAAACTAGTTACTTTTATATTATAATAAACAATAAGTACTATACTAAACATACTAAAATTAAATGTAAAATATATAATTAGATATATAATAGGAAGCTATCAACACTAGTTTGAGAAATAATGTTACTAAGAAAATTAAAAGATGGAAAACAAACAATGGCCAATATATGAACAGTCAATAGTTAGCAGTTACATTTACATGCTTAAAATTAAATTTGCTTGGCAAGAAAATAAACAATTTTAAAAAATCACAAAGGATCTTTATTATTTTAAGTTCAACATATATTAATATGACAAAATGTCATGTCTTGTATTTCTGTAATACAAAATTTAAATTTTATTTCTATAACAAACCAAATGAAATACATACTATTCAAAAATTGGAATAAATTTAGTGGCATGAAAAAGAGGTCATTTGAAATGTTTTGTATGCATCAAGTATACACATCTCCATCATTTAAAAACATGTAGTCTTACTAATACAGTAGCCTTTCTTTAGAGTCTGAAGGTTGTGATCATTTTCAGTTATTTATTTTCAATAAGAGATCTAAATATTTTGCGATCTTATTTCAGTTGTGTTTGTCATTGTATAACTCTAGTCATTAATGTTCAGAGGGTAAAGAGAAACATATATGTCAGTGAACTAGTGGGTTCTGAGTGTGGGTTCAGAGGTCCTGACCTCACCAGCAATGGTTTCTTGCTTCATTGGATTCTCAGGACTTGGATAGGGACAGAGCCGGCTTCACTGGGCCAAGGTCCAGCAGAGGGAGCCTGCAAGCTCCTGGGGAAATCTCTCCTGGAGGATCCACACCAAGTGCCAGCACTGAGCTTTCCGAAGGTAAGGAGTGGCAGAAGAGAGCTGGTGTCAATGTGAGCTTCACCCTAACTTCATACAGCTGTGGGTTTGTGCTCATGTATAACTATAATTTTATTTCACACTTTAAGGGTGAAATAAAAACACGAGAAACTAATAGTATAATAAAAAATGGTAAATAAAATAAGAGAAGGGATAGTGGCAAGGGTCAGGCATCATTTCAAGAGGTGTCACCAAAAGCAGTGAAACAAGAAAACTAGTCAGTGGAGCTCACCCTGGGAATTTAAGATGTTTGCATAAAGCAGAGAGCCATGCCATCCTGACAGCGCTGGGGTCACTGATCACTGTAGCCCCAAGACCTACAGGTTCTCTTGGGAAAGGAGGACTCATGAATTCCCTGCTCTGGGGTGCTTTGGAGAATCTTTAGGCTCTCAGAGTGGAGAGTGGACCAGGTTGTCTAACATGTGACCAGGAAGAATTATTTTGTTTTTCTTTTCCTTTCAAATGAATTATAAAGTTGCATAGGACACATGTGACTAAGAGGAGAAAGGGGTGGGGGGTAGGAGAGAGAGAGAAAAGAGAGAGACTGTTGATGCAGGAACATGTCAGCCAAGTCCTTGGAGGGCAGCAGGTAATTCTCACATTAATATGAGATAAACATATACAGGACTTTTAAAATGTGGTCGAATACCTGAGTCGCGTTTGAGATTTGAGATTTAAGGCCTTTCTTTCTATATTTTTGCACACACATAGTCTTTTTTATTGTGTGCAACTTTTTATAATATTTTCATTTTTACAAATGACAAATGAGTCTTTCCTTGGTCTAAATGAGGGGAGTGATTACCAGAATTCTGCAAGTGACAGAAACTTAGAGACACAGTGTCAAGTACTCTGTGTGGAAGAGCAGCTCCTGCAGAAGCCACCATGAAACAAACATCAGAGGCATTCACACAGCAGCAGCTGGCAGCACAGACGCTGGAGTCTCCCAGAGGGAGCTCCCCTTCCTCGTCTTACCGTGGGAAGCAGCCTGTACCCGGCGGTGCTCACAGTGAGCCCTGCAGTGGGGTGTGCTTCGTGCGAGGCCAGGGAGCCCTGAGGCAGCTGACAGGACTGGAAAGTGCCTCTGCTGCCGGTGGGAGATGTCTCTTCCACCTGTGTGAGCTGAGGCAGAGATTTGTCATTCATCTGTCTATCATCTATCTATCTATCTATATCTATCTATCTATCTATCTATCTATCTATCTATCTATCATCTATCTATCTATCTATCTATCTCTATCTGTCATCTGCCTGTCTATTCTCTATAATCTGCCCACATGTGATTGGTCTTGAATGCTTGTCATCTATTTATCAATCATTCATATATGGTCTTTCTACTGCCGTGTGTTAGCTTTGAATCGTGTGTGTATCTATCATGTATGTATGTATGTATGTATGTATGCAGGCATGACCTACCTAAAAGTCTTTGCTTCTAATCTCAGGAAGACAACTGTTTTTAAAGCACAGCAAATCTTGGACTTATTGACATAGATCCTTGTAAGACAGTTTTACTGACCTGAAGGGAGAAGCTGTTTTCCACGTTTGGATTTTCTCCCGGCACTGCAGAAGCACAGTGTGTGAAGAGTGTGGATGGGACACATGAGCCACAGATAAAGGTTCAGGTCTCTATGATCTCACCTTCTGGAAAGGAGTGATTATCATATCACCTGCATGTGTAGTGACAGAGCCTGCACTGGGAATGGAGATTATCTGGGAAACATTGGGGGCCATGCAAGGAACTGAATGCTATTATGAGCAATTTAAACAGACATCTGATAGCAATGTATGAGTCAGTTAGGGAAAGTATACTTTTGAAAAAAACAAAATCCCCATGGCACACGAGATGAGGACTCTAAGGTGTGCTGAGTGAGAGAAGGGTACAAATCAATATTGACCCATAGTTTTTAGTCAGTTTCTTTCCAAAAAGCAAATCCTTGCTGATCATGGGATGATTGAGAGGGAGGACTGTGAGGGAGAGAGCAGAGTTAGTGCAAGCGTCCAGAGTTGTACCTGTGAGCGGAATATTCATATTTTTGATCAGCATCTTGATAAATATTTATTGTGTAGTTTATGTGTTTCAGGTGCGTGTCTAGGCGCGTGACATTTGTATGTGCACAAAATATAGAAATTATCTTGTTGGTGCTTACTGTGTGGTTGATGGGAAGGAGAAAAAGCAGCACACAGAAAATCCCAATCATACTGTTGATTAGAAAGTGAGAGGTCCTAAGAAATAAGAGGAGAAGGCACACCTGGGCAAACGTCAGGGTTGAAAGATGAGCTGAAGTAAATTGCATATGAATTCTTCATTTCCAAATGAAGATAATATTTAGAAAAATATTTTATCTAAAAAGGGACATATTTATTTCTTCCTTCACAATTGTTGGTTGTACATAATTTTTTTTTGGCCTTGCTGCGTGAAGACCTCCATTGTAATCCTGACAACAATGCAAAGAGCAACCACCTTCTTTCTGCTTTAATCTCATAAAACTGTTTTAATAATGGTCCATGGGTTGTGATAGTTTCCATAACATAAATAACGTAGATGTTATTTGTGAGATTAATAAACTAAGAAAAAATTTAAAAAGCAAGGCAAACTAATATAATTGCTATAGAAACAAGTAGGGATATTTCTGAGAGTTCAAGACCAGTCTGAACTACATAGCAATACCCTGCCTCAAAATTCAGACAAAAATCAAACATACAAACAAAAAATTAAAGCTAGAAATTCCATTAAACCCAGCTATTGCCCTTGTCAGTATCTTCAATTTCCATGTGTTTGTGAAGTTCTTGTGGTTTCTTATGCTATTGATCTCCAGTTTAATTGCACTATGGTCTGATAATATACAGAGGATAACTTAAATTCATTTGCATTTACTTAAGCATGTTCTATGAGCTGGCATGTGGTTTATTTTGGAGAATGACCCGTGTGGAGCTGAAAAGGTTGTATATTCTGATTTTGTTGGGTGAAATACTGTGTAGACATCTACAAGTCCATTTGTTCAAAGGTCAGTTCTGTTATTTAGTTGTTAATTTTTTTGTCTAGATGATGTGTTTATTTGTGACAGTGGAGTATTGTGTTCCCCCACTATATTTGTATTAGTTTTTCATATCCATTAATGTGTGTGTGTGTGTGTGTGTGTGTGTGTGTGTGTGTGTGTGTTTGGTATCAGGGATGAACCCAGGTCCTTGTGCTTGCAAGGCAGGCGGTGGAACCACTGAGCTAAATCCCCGGCCCTTATTAATGTGTGTTTTGTATAGTTTGGGGCATTAGTATTTGGTGCATATATATTTATGATTGCCATCTCTTACTCTTGGATTGTTCCCTTTATAAGGATGTAGTGGCCTTCTTTGTCTCGTAATTAGTTTTGATTTGAAATCTACTTTGTCTGCAAATAAGATAGATACCCCTGCTTTTTTCCTGGCTCCTGTCACCTGGAGAACTGTTTCCATTCTTTTACTCTCAGTCTATGAATTTCTTTGTGAATTAAGTGGATTTGTTATACACAGCATATTGTTGAATTTTGCTTCTCAACCCATTCTGTCAGTGTGTCTCTTTTGATTGGTGAATTGAAGCCACTAACATTGATGGTTATAACTGATATGTATGGACTTATCATTTTCATATTTTCCTGTTGTTTGCTCTTTTATTTTTTATTTTTCCCCTTCTCCCTTTAGTTTCTTGCCTAGCCTGGTGTATTTGCTCTGGCCTTATGGAGTTGTGATGTTCATTGTCTTTTTTCTAGGATAGTGTTTAGAATTGTTTGGAGCATTGGCTTGGTGTTCATGAAATTTCTCAGGTGTTCTTTTTTATGGAAATATCCTATTTTCCCATCAATTTTGAAAGATAGTTTTGCAGGATATATCAGTCTAGGTTGGAGATTGTTTTCTTTTAGGGCTTGAAATACCTCACTCCAGGCTCTCCTTGACTTGAGGGTTTGTGTTGAAAAGTCTGTTGTGATTCTGATGGGTTTTCCTTTGCATGTGATTTGTTTCTTTTCTCTAACTGCTTATAGCATTTTGTTCTTCAATTGGGTTTCCAGGATCTTGATTATTATATGTCTAGGTGTAGATTTTATTTGATCAAGGCTACTTGGAGTCCTATATGCCTCACTTATCTGTATGTCGAATCCTTCCCCTATGATTAGGAAGTTTTCTGTCATTAATTCTGTGAACAGTTTTTTAAAAATGTCATTTGTACTTTCCTTTGACACTTCATTGATTCCTATCAGTCTTATATTATTCTTCTTTGCATCATCTAGGAGCTGTTGGACTGATTTATCACTGTTTTTAAGAGATCTCTCTTTTCATGGTCACTTACTGCAATCCTAGCTTTTATACTTGATCTTCTATCTTTACATTTACTCCTTCTGCTGCGAATGCTTTCTATAGAGTTTTTAATCTCCTGGATATCTGTTTGAATCTATCTGTTTCATGGATTCCATTTCTTTCCTATGTTGGGCAGTCAGGGTTTCCATTTCTTTCCTACACTGGGCATTCATGGCTTCTATCATGGTCCTGAATTTATCTATTTTTTTTGGTCTGTTTTTGTTCTAGAGTCTCTTAATCATGTCTTTCATTGTGCTCACCATCTCTGTAGCTATCTGGGAAATTATTTCTGTTTTGATTTTTCTAGAGTGTGATTGATCTGTTTTGTTACTTCCTGTGCTATGAGTTCAGGGTGTCCTGGTGGTCAATTGTCAGACTTTTCTATCTTGTTTCCCTCAGAGTTTGCCATTAGTGAACTGGAAGTCTGTATTTGTGCCTTGCTTAAGTGTTTTCTTATTTTTATTTTTGTTGTTGGTCTGTCCTTGGTTTAATTCCTGGGTTAGTACTTCGGTCTTCCTGATATAGCTGCTCTTTAGGTTTTGAGTCTCTAATGACTCAGAGACACTTTCATTTTCATAACATCAGAAAAAAAATTGATTAAATCAATCACAACCCTTTAGTCCAATTGATACAATCAGCAACACAATAGCATCAAGCACAGCTTAGAAATTGACAATTTGTGGTAGTTATTAATCTATCACCTTTAACCATGTGAATTAAATCAAAATTGAGGACCAGCACCAAATATATTTATAGTGAATAAAATCTTCAATATAGCAACTTTGCCCTTCAGGGTGGAGACTTAGGAGTTGGGAGGACAGGAATAGATAGGTAGAAGTATTGGAGAATCTTTCAAGTGAAGCCAGAGGACACAGTATGATCATGCAAACTCTAGGAAATTGTTGAAGACAAGAGGGAAAGACAGAGTGCAAGAACAAAGACAAGAATAGAACAATTTGACAGTAATAGGGAAGCTATAAATTGTACTCACTTTCCTTTGAAACTAATGACAGTTGCAAGAAGGAAAAAGAGAAGAAAAGAAGAAGAAAGAAAAAATCTGAATTCGGGCAGTAACAGGAACAAAAAGGGAGATGAAGAACAATGTAGGGGAGCAAGAGACTGAGTGGGAAACAGAAGAAAGAAAAAATAATTTGAATTTGGGAAAAAATAAAATTTGAAAAAACTTAAAAATTAAAAAGAAGAGGAAAAGGAAGAAAAATAATTGAAGGGCCTCTTTAAGGATACATTTCTGCTGTCACAATAGACAATGTGGACAGCAATGTGCAGAACTAAGTCGAATAGTCTCAGCAAGCCAGCAGCAGACCCCTGAGATTCAGGCTGAATTCTGGCTTCAAGGCTCAAGTTGAGTTTCCTGACCTCCTGCAGGGTCAAACTCTGCAAGATTCCACTGCAGGTTCTAGCTTCCCTTCCCCTGAAGATAGTTCAAGTTCTGATGGAAGGTGGTGATCCCTTCAACTTACCAACTACAGAGATCTGGTGTGCCTTTATTGCAGTTGTTCACTTCTGTTCTATCTTCTGGATCCAGGTACTGGCACAACCAGAAGGCCTGAGAGTACGGGGGGCGGGGGGTAATTTTGCCGGGGCACCCTGGGGTCTGGGCAGTCCTCATCAGTCTGCTCCAGTGAAGGTAGAGGGCGCTCGAGGGTGGGGAAGGTGCTTAGCTCCCTGTGTTTCCCTGGCAGTCCTCCAGGCTCAAGAATCTTAAGAGGTGTGGCTTGTCATTTCAATTTTTAGATTGTTTGGTAACAGTATTTTTGTGTATATATTATAACACGTTTTATGTTTGGGTTGAGAAATCTTGTTCTAACTGGCACTGCAAAATGAAACTTTAAAAATGATTTTTTCCCCTTCAAAGACAAATGGCTTCCTGAGGCCTAGGGCATAATCACCTTCCCCTATCTCTCCTTAGCCAGATGAATGAACAGAATATGCAGGTGCTGACACCAGGAAGCCTGGAACCCAGTCCCCTTTCCAGGAAGGGGAATGAGCTGTCAGTGGTTAAACGTGATAAAGCAAGTGTGGAGATCTGCATCGTCTCTCTGTGCCCCGCCCTTCTGTGCCATTTCTAGTAAAGACTCTTGCACACCTGTACATGATAAGATGGTGATTTGAAGCAAATAGGCCCTTTTGTCTCTTTGGCATTTGCTTTGAACAAATCTGCTTTCCTTCTTTTTTCCAAATATATGGCTTCCTTTGACTTGGACAGCGGCAAGCAGTCAAACCTGAGTATATGAACCTAAGTGACTGGTAATACTGTGAGAAACGTTCCACGTCCATAATCTTTAAAAGAGATATACTGTTTTTTTCTTCCCACTTTAGTTTTAAGCATGATTAAAATAAACGAGAAAGTTAAAAGAAATTCTTTTTCGGTACCGGGGATTGAACTCGGGTCCTTGTGCTTGCAGGCCACCGAACCGCTGAGCTAAATCCCCGGCCTGAAAGTTAAAATATTATAAATTGGATACCGTTTGGCCCAATGTAATATTTTAAAGTGGCCATTTTCTATTTTTCTGTAGCAGCACCTTAGTCATAATCAAGGATTTATTCCACTGTGTGAATTTTATAGCTCAATTTGATGGCTTTTATCTTAAATTGTATATCATCCACGCTTTCCCTCAACACATCTTTTTGGGCAATCTGAATCATTTTATCTTGCAACTGTCAACAAATTTCTAATATATAATTTTTTAAAGTAAAGAAGCCAAGATATTCTGTTACCATTTGAAAAGTTTTCATCTAAATTCTTATTGGTTTAGTTTCTGTTATTTGAGAATTGTCTCCAAGACATGTTTCTCCGTAGTTTCTGTACAGAAAAGAACACGAAAACAAAAATTAAAAACTGTATTATGTGTGCTCTGCGTTGACTTGATATAGAGGAACAAGGCCGAAATCGCATTCTTTTCACAAATGTGATAGACTTCGCAGACTGATTTTTGCTCTTCCACCTTTCTCCGGACCGAGAGAAACTACATTGCCCACCATGCCTTGTGCAGGGCGGGGGCAGGTTGGACCAACGAGAATCCGGCATACAGTTGTTTCCGGGAGTGCGCGGGTCGCTGGGCGGGACTTCCGGCGCTGCTTGGCTGAGGCTGCTTCTACTCTGTGGAGCCGCGTGGGTCGTGTTCCCGAGAGCGACCCGCAAGGCTGTACCTGCTGCAGAGGCGCGGCTCTGCGGTGCGGCTGTGTCACCCGGGCTGTGTCTCTCGGCTCGTCCCACTCCGCCGGTCCACTCCGGTGAGTACCGCCCGCCCGCACCCCGACCGGTGTGGAGCCCAGAGCAGAGCGGGGCTCCCTCGGGGCAGTGGCGTGGCAGAGGCTGTGCAGTGCCGCCCGGGCCCAGGGTCTTGCTCGAGTCCTCAGCGAGCAGAGTGAGAAGCCAGGCGCTGGGTCCGCAGAGTAGCTGAGAACCAAGGAGAGCGCGATCTGAGGGAGGATTTTCGAGTGCTTCCAAGGCAGCCTCGCGGAGACCCGACTAGGCCAAGACCGTGAGAGTGGACGGAGGGAGACTGAAGGGTTCACCGCAGGCGCCCGGGGAATTAAGGTGCATTCTGGACCAGGCCGCTGGTAGGGGACAGAAGTAGTAACGACTGGATAGGTGGGTAGACCTTTCGCCGCATCGTTTGTGCTTGTGAGCCAGAGTGGGAAGGAAAGGACAATCTCAGGTTTTTCTTTCACCTGAACATCGTGAAGAGTTGAGAAGGACATCTGGTGGAGGCGCAGTTTCGGGGAGAAATCAAGAGTTGGGTTTTGGGTAGGATGGCTCAGAGGTGTCCAAAAGTGGAGTTATTACATGGACTGCTCGAACCCTAGGGAATTCTGCGGCAGGGACCGTTCTGTGATGTGCAAGTGTTAACAGGCTGGGCTATGCATTTAGGCCAAACCCGAGGTTCACAATGAAAGCGAAAACCTTTGATTTGATTCTGAGATGCGCCCTGACATGCCGTGAGAGTTGAGGCTGGCGGGTGGAGAAGAGTAGGTGGGGCTTGGCCGGCTGGCTGCAGACGGAGGGCCCCGGATTCCAGTGGTTGTTCTAGAGGGAGAATACGGGTTAAAGGGCCATGAATAGGTTGGATTAGAGGAAGGGAGTCTCTGTGGATTCACCATTCTACAGGCACAGCAGACTGCTCTCTCCTATGGAGCCAGAGAAGGGCAGTTAGGGCACAGGTGCCTTTGCTCCCCCACAAAATATACACATTAAATGTATGCAAGGAAATAAAACCTGCCTGAAATGACTTCATGTCGCTGTGCTCTAATAAAATATGTATTTGGTTTTTGTCAAGTTTTGGTACAAAAGGACTAGAACCCTTGTCATTCGGTGAAAAGTGTTTTTTGTTATTTAATAAAATATGTATTTGGTTTTTGTCAAGTTTTGGTACAAAAGGACTAGAACCCTTGTCATTCTCTCGGTGAAAAGTGTTTTTTGTTAGTCATTATAAGCTCCTTTTTGTACTGCTTGAGTTTTATGAGATGCTTAGTGTGAGAAGACTTTAACATTGGGGTCCTAAGTCATCTCATGGTGGGGCTGATCATCAGAGACACCAAGTGATTACAGGATTTGAACTTTCAAACCCCATGTCAGGTTTCCAGAGAAAGAGGGGTGCTTGAAATTAGTTTTTGTAAAATCTCAGAGTGAGATTTCAGAAAGCTTCCAGGTTGTCAACACTGGGAAGTACTGGGAATTTCACAGGTGGAGGGGGCATGGAAGCACTGTGCCATGTTCCACATCTTAATTCCTTGGTATATGCATCCCTTACATTTGTTTCTGAGTTGCATTTTTAATTAAAACAAACAAACCCAGTAAATGTAAGTAGTGTTTTCCTGAATTTTAAGAGTGGTTTTATCAGTCATATCTGAAGAGGGAGATCATGCAATCCCTAAGATCTGTAGCCATTTGGATGGACTCATGGATGGTCTGGACATACGATTGCAACTGGCATCTGAAGTAAGGGGAGTTTTGTATGACCAAACTCTTAAACATGTGGGTATAGATGCTCACTTCAGCTAGTTAGCCTCAGAATAGAATTGAACTGTAGAACACTCACTTGGTATCGGAGAATCAGAAAACTGGCACTGGAAAAGGCACCACATACTTGGTGTCAGAAAGAGAATCACAGAAACCTAAATTATTTTCTAAAATTCCGCATTCAAATAAAACCTTAAATGGCAAAGAAGAAACACCCACATTTTCAAAAACATTTACAGAAATGTTACTCTCATGGTCAGTAACAGCTAAATCTCAGCACTGGACATGAAGTTATGAGAATAATGAGTTTGATGCCTATAACACTTAAGAGGAAGTGTTTCCATTTTCCATTTGGAAGTGTTTCAAGTGTTTCCACCTGAAGTGTTTCCATTTTATAGAAGACAGCCTCAGGGAGCTCAGGTCTTTGGTGACAACCAGTCGGCAGGAACTAGTGCTAAGGATTTGAGCTTGTATGTCAGCCTGAGATCACTTTTCTCCAGAGCAAGGCAGAAAGGAAATAACTTAGCTGTTGTAAATTCCACCATGCTTGTCTTTATTTCATAGCCTTTTTCTTGCTACAGATTCCCATGGCAGCAGAAGGGTTTCTGAAACCGACTTGGGTAAGTAAAGAAGTTCCATGATTTCACTGGCTCTTGTTCCTACACTTACAAGTCCTAGTACACAGATCCAGATAATAGTGGTGTCCTGGAAGTCTGTGTCCTTAGTCCTGTGGTCATCTCAGGCCCAGGATCCTAAATCAGTGTTAGAAATTTTAAAGAGATGTTCCTGTTTCTTCATTCAATAGCGGGAGGTACTCAAAGGTTTCCTGGGTAAAAACCATGGTCCAAATGTTTAGAAATGGGAATGATGGGAATGTTTAAGAAACTGCAATTCTTCATTAATGTGTTCTGGCAAGAAAAAAAAAGTGAAGGGGCAGGAAACAGTCCAGAAGTGGCAAATTGAGGACCAAAGGCCTCTGCTAAGGATGGTAGGAGCTATTGAGGTTTTGGAGCAGAGGGAAGTTATAAGATTCAATGTCTAAACAAGCTCCTGTCTCAGCAGAGTGGGGAGCAGATTCTGGAGGTGTGTGTGGAGGCTACCATAACATTCCAGGTTGGAAAAGCAATTAGTCTTTTATAAACAGATGTTTGTCTGCTGGACATTGTGAGAGAGAAGTCAGGGAAGACCTCATGATTTTTGACTTTAACACATGAAGTGTGAAAGTAACATTTACTGAGATGGCACATGAATGATAGGAATATTCAGCAGGGGCTTGGAATGTAGCTCAGTGGTACAGCTCCTGCCTGGCAAGTATGAGGCCCTGAGTTCAATTCCCAGTACCAAAAAAAGAGGTGTATTTAGCATTAAAAACTATCATGAGTCAGACTTGTCTTTTTATTTAAAATTTTTATTAAAATATTTTAAGGTATTTTTACATTCATAGTAAAATTTAGAGGAAAGTAGAAATTTTCCAAATACCCCTGCCACTGTACCTTCTTTACCAGAATGGTATGTTTGTTAGATTTATACCTGCTTTACATCATAATTACCCAAAGTCTGTAGTTTATATTAGTACATTGCATGGATTGCACAAATTTTTAGTGACAAATACTGAGGTGGAAGAGGCCAGCTCTCGGAGTCCCATCGTAGTTCAGGTGGCTGAGATTGGAACAGGGAGCCAGGGCAGATGGGGTCTTCTAGGAGTGCTGCAACTGCCTCCAGCTCAGCTCCAGAGGAGGCTGATGTCCTAGCTGGGTTTGGCAAGTATATGAGCATGTGGGGAAGCCAGGATGGGATCAGGCATGCACAGGGCAGGCAATGGAGTTAGGGATGTAGTGGTCATGATCTGGAATTTCAAGATTTGTTCCCCATAGTGATGTGCAGACAGGGAGGGAGTGTGAGCGAATATATGCAGGGTTCTGGTACTTAGGGTTTAAGGCAGGAGGCTGAGCACCGGTGTGGGTGTTTGTGGAATGATCTGGGACCCCTGGGAGACTGCCTGGCAGGAGCAGGGCTGGTATTCCACCTGCCTAGTCCAGGACTCAGATGGCATCTCCTATCCTCTTCTAGTCACGAAGCTGTGGATAGTGGTCAGTGAGGTGTGAGGGGCAGCAGGGAGCAATGGCACCAAGACCTGGATCTCCTCTGCAGTGGGGAGCTGTGGGGAGCACAGTGTACTGGGCGGTCAAAGCTGCTCATCATCGTACATGATGAGCACATTACAGGGCCATGTGACCTGTGAGGACATTGCTGTGTACTTCTCCCAGCAAGAGTGGAGGCTCCTTAATGGAGCTCAGAGGTGCCTTTATCATGATGTGATGCCAGAGATCTTTGAGCTCATGATCTCAGTGGGTAAGTTCCCTTCCAGCCACACCTTGCTGGTGCTGGGCTCCAGCCTTCCTCTTTTTTTTTTTTTTTTTTTTTTTTTTTTTTGTGGTACCAGGGATTGAATTCTGGCCCTTGTGCTTTCGAGGCAGGCAGTGGAACCACTAAACCAAAGCCCTGGCCCCAGCCTTCCTCTTTTTCCAGAAGCTGTCCTGTCTTTCCCAGAGCAGGACCATAAACTCTTGCTTCTTCCCTGATTTCTTGACATAGGTGCTGTTTTTTGTCAGGCCTGGGCTTTTTGCAGCCCCCAAAGCTGCTGTTCTTAAACCTTTTAGTTAAGGCTTTGGGTTCAGAGTCTTGTAGGCTGTCCAACTGATGCCACTTGGTTTTGCCATTCCTTACTAAGTAATCAGATCTGGGGTAGACCTGTATCACACGTTCTTTTCTTGTCTTTAGTGGACCTTTAGTAAGGCTTGCCTGTCTCAGAAATGAGGCATTTGCCTGGTTATTGTTTGCAGGGAACAGTAGACTATGATAGCAAGATTCTCCTTCAGGATTTTGTTTTCTAATACATTACTCTCCTTGTAGTCTGTTTTGGGTTGGGACACTGTGGGTCAGTGTTGATTTCTCAACTACCTATTTTCTCTTCAGGACATCTATCTTCCAGGTCCCATATGGTCTCCCACCTTAGGCTGTGGGTGGGGAAAGGCTGTGTTCCTGACAGAGTGGAGAGGTCTTTGAGCAAGAGGGGCTGAAGAGGTCCTGGGCCTGTGAATAGCAGCGGTGGGAGAGCATGAATTCACACTGAGCTCAGATTGTACCAGGCCTTATCTTCATTTCACCCTGTTTTGGTGCCAAGGCTCATGTAACTCCATTTTTTTTCTTCTTCTACCTACTTAACATTTTACCCATGTGTCATTTTGATATTTCTGATCCTAGGCTTTCCCATACCTCACTGACCCCACATCTCTCTAGTTCCTCTCTCTGTAATTTCTTTAATATAACAATGTATTGTGAGTTGTGAATGTGTGTGTGTGGTGGGACAAATATTTACACAGCTCCCAGCTGAATGCAGCAGACTAGGTCCTCCTGAAAACTACTACCAGCCCAGAAATATGTCATAGACCTGCCTATGTTCACCACTGTTTCTCTTTGTCAGTTTCTGTTGTTGGGACAAAATACCCAGCATTTACAACTTAAAGGTGAAGAGGTTTACTTTGGCTTATTATTTCAGTCCATGGTCAGCTGGCTCCAAGGAAAAGGGGCACAAGGAAGGGCTTGGTTGGAGGAAATCTGCTTATTCCATTGCAGATAAGAAGCAGAGATAGAAGGGAGGAGGAGCCAAAGAAAGGAATATACTCACATCTCTTCCCAAATGGCCCATGACCAGCTAAGCCTTGTGTTCTTTCAGCACATTCTGCTACTGAACTCCTCAATAGGTGAATCCACTGATAAGTAGAATACCTCCATGATCCAATAACTTTCCAAACACTAGAGTTTTCAGGGACATTTTAGATCTAAACCAAGACACCATTCCTTGCTTTCATGATGGTTGTGAGTCCTCCTCTGCTTTGAGTCTTAGAGGCCCATTATTGAACACTCTTGACTTTGACCTGACCCTAGCTCCCTTGCCCTGAAAATAAACCCATACATTCATCCTCTCTGTATCATATAGATATTTGTACCAGGACCCAGTTGTCTTTTCCCACCAAAGTCTACACGCCCTTCACTTGGATTCTTATCCATTCAGGTTGTTGGTGTAGAGAAGAGGCTGAGGAGGCCCATCCCTAGCAGGCTGTTTTCACAGGAGTATCATATGCTGACAATCCATCACAAGATCCATCCATCCCAAATGATCCCCGTGAGATGTGGGACCTGGTCACAAATGACATTTTGTACTTGGCTGAGCACCAAAAACTCTCTGGGCAGAAATCATATATATGTGTGGAATATAGAAAACTTTTGTCATTAAGTTCAGACCTACATCAGAACCAGAAACAGTACACTGGAGAGAAACACTTCAGAAGAGAGGAGAACAGGGCCTTGTTTGTAAATAGCTACAAACCTCCTGTGTCAGGTCGCCTTTTCCAATGTGAAGATGCTGCAGAGGACTTCCTGACCAGCACAGGCCTTCTTCAGCATCAGTCTAGTCTCAGTGCAGCATATTCGCTGAGAAGCAGGGAGACTTTTCACACTCAGCAGGGGCATTACAAATGTGGCAGGTTCAAGAAAGTTTTCAGTGAGGGGGTTCAAGACATTGGGCATCAGGGCATCCAGTTTGGAGGAGTAATTCATGAGGGTAGCGTGTGTGGGAAGTTCCTGAACTCCAGATACTCACTTAAGCATCAGAGAACCCATGATGGAAAAAAGCCGTATGTATGCAGTGTATGTGAGAGAAATCATTCCTCCACAATCATACCCTTGTAGGACACCAGCAGAGAATCCACACTGGGGAAAGGACTTCCATGTGTATTGAATGTGGGAAATCTTCGAGTTCCAAATATTCACTTGTTGAGCATCAGAGAATCCATAATGGAGAAAAACCATATTTGTGCAATGCATGTGGGAAGTCTTTCTGACACAAACAAACATTTGTTGGGCATCAGCTGAGAATTCATACTGGAGAAAGGCCATATATTTGTGCTGCATGTGGGAAATCCTTTATCCAGGCCTCTGACCACATTCGACACCAGAGAATTCATAGTGGAAAAAGAGCTTATGAATTCATTGAGTGTGGAAAGTCCTTCCTCTATAAACAGTCACTTCTTGATCACCAGAGATTCCACTCTGGTGAAAGACCTTTTGAGTGCAGTGCATGTGGGAAAGCCTTCATCCATAAGAAAAGACTTTTTGAGCACCAGAGAATGAATATACAGTGGAGAAAAGCCGTATGTGTGCATCAAATGTGGTAAATCATTTATTCGGTCCTCTGACTACATTTGGCACCAGAGGATTCATACTGGTGAAAGGGCTTATGAGTGCAGTGAGTGTGGGAAAGCCTTCACCTGCAAACAGACACTTCTTAAGCACCATCAAAGCCACACTAGACAAAAGCCTTACCAGTGCAGTGAACGTGGGAAAGGCTTTAACCTTGAGGATGAACTTCTTCAGCACCAAAGACTCCATACCAAAGAGCAAACTTATGAGTGCACTGAATGTGGGAAAACCAGCCACAAGAAAAGAGTTGAGCACCAGAGGGTCCACGCTGGAGAAAAGTCCTGTGAGTGCAGTGAATGTGGGAAGCGCTGTAGAGATCACACCAGTGCTTAATTCAGCACCAAAAAATTCACAGTGG